AATCTCACTCCACTCCTCACTTTCGGTGGTAATGCAATACTTCTTTCTGCTTCTCAAAGGGTTAATTTTATACACAGAAGGGGCACTCCCGGGACACTTGTGTATAATTACTCATAAGTGAATCCTATCAGTATCTTCTCCTACCTTCATAACAGACAAATGCAGGGAAATGTCCTTTGGTGAGAGAGACTTTGGTTTAAAGAACTACATTAAAATATCCACTGCCCCTGCAGAGGAAAAATGAAACTTAGAGAACTGGCTTGTTGTTGGAGACAAATGGTCTACAGCCAAACAATTTGGGAAAATGGAAGGTGTTTTTTTGTTTTTTTGTGGGGGTTTTGTTTTTGTTTTGGGTCTTTTCTAAGTACAGGATATTCAATTCTCAGTATCTATATTAACAAACAGAATTATAATAGTAAGCAACTCATGAGGTTGATTGACTGATTACAAGTGGTAATATAATTAATGTGGCAACATAAACATGGTATATATACTGTTCTAGTAATGAGGAAGCTTATCAATGTTAGGAGCCCTGGTGAAATAATGGATTATATGTTGTACTGTTAATCCTAAAGTCACAAGTCCAAAACCAACATCTGCTCTACAGAAGAAAAATGAGGCTTTCTACTCTTGTGAAGATTCAAACCCATATAAATAGACAGGGTGATTTTATCCTGAGCTCTATGGTCCATATGGATCACAGTTGACTCACTGTTGTATTTTTATCAAGACCACAGGTCCATGGACACAGAGAAAATGTCTGGTTAGATCAATGTTATGTCCTAATCACAAACTATATGAAATAACTGATGATTAAATGTTTTTAACAGTGTAATTTAATGTGTGTATTCAAACTCAGGTTTGTCTACATTCAGAAGAGTTTATTCTGTGAAATCATTTGGTTCCATGATTTAAAAATACTATTATTCCTATCAAGCATACAATGTATTGTAACATATGAATTGTAATGATTGATACTATAATTAATATTGTTTCATATAAATTGACATGATATTTTCAATATATACCAGATGTAAAGTACTTTAGTAACAATAATAGTTCTACCAAGAAATAAACTCCTGAGATATCCCTTTACTTTCTTCCTCTCACTCCTTAACCCATTCCCAACTCATTCTGTAAAACATTAAATTTGTTTATGTCATCCCCACTGAAATATTTCTTATGTTTCTTTTCTAGGCAAAGGGCATTTATACAGGTCTAAATAAAGGCATGTACATATGTAAATATATTTATATATGAGGATGGAGAAATAGATCTATGTGCCTATATTTATAGGTTTAGTATTAAGGTAGCAGAAAAACGTTGGGCCTCCAATCAAGCGCTCCCTCAATACAATAATAATTTATTCTATTAAATTGGCATTCTATGATTCTCACCTTCCTTACACAATCACTGAAGACAAAGCGGGTGAATAAGCAAATGTTGTGAAGAAAGCTGATGGTGCCTGGCTATCAAAAGATATAGTGTCTGGGGTCTTAAAAACTTGAAGGTAAACGAGTGGCCATGTAGCTGAGAAACAACAAAGCCCACATGGAAGAAACACACCAACCTGCGTGATTATGAGATGCCAAAGGTACCAGTTATCAGGCATCAAAGAACAAAAAATCATATCATGTGTGCTCACCTCCCCAATATGAGCACTGAAGACAAATGGGTACATAAGGAAGTTTGGCGAACAAAACTGATGGTGCCCGGCTATCAAAAGATATGGCATCTGGTGTCTTAAAGGCTTGAAGGTAAACAAGCGGCCATCTAGCTCAGAAGCAACAGAGTCCACATTGAAGAAGCACACCAGCCTGTGTAATCACAATGAGTCGAAGGGATCAGGTATCAGGAATCATCAGAACAAAAAACATAACATTGTGAATGTGGTTGGGAATGCGGAGTGGAGACCCAAAGCCCACTTGTAGACCACTGGACATCCTCTTACAGAAGGGTCTCGGGGAGGAGAGGAGCCACTCAGGGTGTGATGTAGCAATGATGAAAAATACAACTTTCCTCTAGTTCCTAAATGCTTCCTCCCCACCCACTATCATGATCCCAATTCTACTTTACAAATATGGCTAGACCAGAGGATGTACACTGGTAAAGATAGGAACTGGAAACACAGGGAATCCAGGGTGGATGATTCCTTCAGGACCAGTGGTATGAGTGTCGATACTGAGAGGGTGGAGGGAGGGGAGGTTGGAAAGGGAGAACCGATTACAAGGATCTACATGTGACCTCCTCCCTGGGGGTTGGACAACAGAAAAGTAGGTGAAGGGAGACATCATACAGTGCAAGATATGCAAAAATAATAATTTATAAATTATCAAGGGTTCATGAGGAAGTTGGGAACGGGGAGGGAGTGGAAAAAATGAGGAGCTGATGCCAGGGGCTTAGGTGGAGAGCAACTATTTTGTGAAGTATGAGGGCAATGAATGTACAAATGTGCTTTACACAATGATGTATGTATGGTGATAAGAGTTATATGAGCTTCTAATAAAACAATATAAAAATTTAAAATATATATTCTTGTCCATAGGGGGAAAAAAAGGAAGAGAACTCAAGCTTTTAGAGTTTGTTTGTTAAACACCTTTAAAGTGACTAGAGTTACCATTTTGTCTGAAAAATTCCCAACAGATTACCTCCAAAATTAATCATTAATATATGATAATTTAATTGTCTTTCATTCTTTCAGTAAATTTTATAAATATCTCTGCATCTTCAGTCAATGTATTTTCCTATAGAAGTAGATGTATCTTTGAAATATGAAACCTGGCTATTCAATAAAGGAAGTAGCAATTGTAATGATTGTATTGGATATATAATTCAAAGCATAGTAAAGCTATTTATTAATTACAGGGATGCAATAGACAGCATTCAAAAAAACTCTCTTCAATATTTAGAGAATACCTTCTTGGTCTTGCAGCTTGACTTCTACACCCTTTAACCAAAGTTGCATAAGAGACCAGCATTCTCATAAAATAAGCAATGCCCAGTGCCATCGCACTGTGATGGAAGGCCAAGTGGTACCTCTGTGCTGCAAGTGCAAATAACCTTTTGTGTTTCTGTGACACAATTCCTTCAAGGAGTTCATATGACTTAATAGAGTCCTTGAATCCTCCTAGAATTGTCTATGAGGTTGGAGTAGAGATCCCTGATAACATAATTCACATTCTTTTTAATATACTGCAGGTCAAATCCTCTCCCATAAACTAGATACAATAAAAGCCTTTTAAAACAGCATTGACCATTATTACATATATGTAAGATACTATGTTGGACTTAATTAACCTCTAAGCTGAACATTACAATAGCTGACATGTATTCCCTGCCTATAATGAGTAATTAGGATAAATGCTTTTTAGACATTCCTTAAATTTTGTTACAAAAAAATAATAAAATTAAATGTATGCATTATCAACCTCACACTTAGGAATTAATTTGACCAAATTCACACACTTAAGAATATTTGATAGTATGGGCCAACTCCAGGTCTATCCAGTTTTAGAATGGTTATCTTTATGTCATTGTAAGAATGGGGGGTGGGGTGGAAAAAATCACCCCTTTCCAATTAAGGGTATCATTCTGACAAACTATTATCTCAAAGAATGACAAATCATAAAACTTTAAAGTGCTAAAAAGCAAGGAGGTTGCTTTGAAGACTAAGGTGCGCCTGATCCAAGCCAAAGTATTTTACATCAACTCATAAGTATGTGAAAGTTGGATATTGAATAATGAAGACAAAAGAAAACCCGATGCATTTGAATCATGGTGTTGGCAAAAAGTAAGGATAATACCATGTCTGCCAAAAAGACAAACAAACCTGTCTTGGAAGAGGTAAAGCCAGACTGCTCCTTGAGAATTGGTCTCACATACTTTGGACATGTTTGCATGTCCCTGGAGAAGGACATGCTGCTTGGTAGAGCAGACGGGGCAGTGAAAGAGAGGAAGCCCCCAACACGATGGACTGACACAACGGTCATAGCAATAGGCTGAAGCATGAGAGTCATTATGAAAATTGCACGAGCTGGACAGTCCTTCTTTCTGCTGCACGCAGAGTCACTCTGAGACAGACCCTACTCGAAGGCATCTAGCACCAGCAACAGTTTTCTCAGAGACAGACAAGACTTTAACACAATATAACCTGGAAGCATCCCACATGAATCATAACATGGATTTATAGAGAGATGACAGATGATAGAACAATATTCATATGTCTAGCTGTTATAACTCTCTCTATGCCTATTCTGCATAGTGGTTTCACACTGCGCTGATAACTGCAGGGTTACCAGTTTGAAACCACCGGCTGCTACTTGGGAGAAAGACGGGGATTTCTCTCATAACGAGTTATAAAGAGTTATAGTCTCAGAAATTCACAGGGGAGTTCTACCCATCATGAGATTGCATTTGCTCATTCTTTGATGAATTAAAGCTTCAGGGACCTTCATTTGCTGACGGGGCACACTCAAAATGGGAAGAAACAACTATAAACATCTATGAATAGTTGAAACTTGGAATGGATGAAATATCTAACTGGAAAACTTGGAAACTATAAAAAATATAATGGGATGTATCAAGATTGAAAGAGTAGGTACGAGTAAGCTGAAGTGGACAGGCTGAAAGTCATGCATTACAATACAGAAATGACAAATTGAAGAGGAATAGGGTCACATTCATCATCTGAAAGGACATTTCAAAATCTATCTTGGAGGATAATGTTTTCTGCAATAGAATAGTATCTATGCACACACAAGAAAATCCAGACAATATAACTATCACTGAAATTTATGCAATAAGCACTAGATGAAGAAATTGAAGAATTTTCCCAGTGATGTTGGACTCAAATTAAGCAAACATAAAATCAGAATGCATTGATAATTATTGGCAATTAGAAGGCAACAATTGGAAACAAAGAGGAAGGATAAGTTGTTGAGAAATATGGCCTTGGTCATAAAAACAAAGTTGGAGATCGCTTGATAGAATTTTGCAAGATTACATTTATCTTGGCGGGGAGATACCATGATCACAAAGGTGGTTTTCTCAGGGCGAGGCTGATCCATTGCACTCGGGATGTGCTGACCCCTGCGATTTCCCCAAATGTGGGAAACTCGACTGCATAATTTATAGCATTGGGGGACTGCGTCCGCGCTTTCCCCTGAAAAAAAAAAAGAATTTTGCAAGATCACCAACTTCACCACAAATACTTTTTAAAAACAATACATGGTGTATATTATATGTCATTAAAACTGTTCAAAAGATCAAGGATTGCATCCTACAATATGGATTACAACTCAATGCTAAAAATAAAATATAAAAATATCTTTACTGTTGTACCAATTCATCCCATCATGATAAACAGGGGAAATATTAAAGTTGTCAAGGTTTTTATCTTGCTTTGGTCCATAGTAAATGTTCATGGAAGCAGCAATCAAGAGATCAAAGGATACATTGCATTAGGTAAATCTGCTACATAAAATCCTCTTAAAATACCTAAGAGTGAAGATATTACTCTGAGAACTAAAGTGTACCTGACCCAAGACATACTTTGGAAAGTAGAGAGGCAGAAAAAAAGAGAAAGACCCTCTAATAGACGGAATGACAAAGTGGCTGCAACAATGGGCTAAAAAATTATTGTGATGATGACTAAGGACCAGGTACTGTTTTATTCTTTTGTAGTTGGGTGACTGTGAGTCAAATCCACATCAAGGGGACCTAACAATAATAACAACAGTCTGAGTTGTTTTCTTGAGATATATATATATATATATATATATAT